CTTGGCTTGCATGCCAAAGTCCTCCTCACGGGAAGTCCTTTGCTACCTCTAGGAATCGGGTAGCCCTGGGAGGAGCAGTTTCTGCAGGATCAGCAAGGTCCCAAATGTCAAACCTTCGGAATAAAAACACATGGATATCCAAAATAAAGGGAAGCAGAGTGGACAAAAATTTTTTAAATCTCCCAGCAGGTAGGAACAAGGTCAGAAAGTACGAAGTCAAGACTACAGGGCCCACCCTCCTGACACTGCTCTGAGGGAGGCAAAGTTAAGTTGCCCATTTACAATTTAGCTTAGACCATTTAATTGTGAGACATGCAACATACCCACGAGCCAATAGATTACAAATCCTAAACCCATGAAACTCATGGATGACATCACCGAGCATTCCAGAGGCACCCAGCTTCCCACAACTGAGACAGGAACGGCCGGCTGTGGGCCAGAGTGGAAGAAAGGGGAAATGTACATACGCCCAGCAACCAGATTCCCATAGGTCTCCAGCATCACGTCTCTGTAGAGGCCCTCCCAGCGGGAGCCACCCACTCCCACCCCTCCAAGTGAAACTCACACACAGATCCAGGAACATGACTAACCCTCCAACAACACACTCTTTAGTCTCAAGTTAGGTGCACTCAATGATGCACATATTCTTTAGTTCTCCTTTTGTTGAAGCCAGAGGCTAACAGCAGGAACAAAGAGATGAGAAACTGTTGACCTATGTGCTACAGAAACACACAGCATTGATCTGGCCTTTAAATCTTTATAGATAAAAGCAAACCATGTGTATATTTGCACGTCAGACCACTTGAAGCCATATATATATGTTCTACATATATATATGCACCTACAGAACACACATAAAAAACGTTACATACATAATAGGTAGATGCGTATGTTTATATTCATATATGTGGCCCTAAGCAGTGTAATACACATACACATACACATATATATCAGGAAGACACAAGGTCCTTTCTCACCAGACTTCTGCTGTACTTTGTCATCACTGAATTAAATCCTGGCTAGTTTGTTTGTAAGAAGTTCTACTGTGACGGTGATGTTTCGGTTACAAAGGTTATTACATAAGCCTTCACCTCAAAGTTATGACTCATTTTTTCTTGTAGGAAACTGTATTTGCTAATGTTTGTTACAGAAATCAGAATGAGCCTTTTAGTACCATTTAAATCATTATGAAGAAATATCACAGCAGGCCTAAGACTGCTATTGTTTTGAGCTGGCAGTTCACTCTGGGCTGGGGTTTGGGACCTTAGATTTCAAGAGGTTTCCTGCCATTCCCAGAAAGGAGCAGTGGCTCACTGTGCCCAAGTTTTTTGTGTAAACAATGTGGCTTATGCTGAACACCTGCTATCCTTGTGGAGGTCTGGAATTTGGTATGTGCTAGAAAGAGTGCCATAAAAAATCCCTGGCAACTGAGCCTCTAATGTGCTTTGTTAGTAGCCATTTCAATCCACTGTCATAACTGCTTGATGGAGCTTAGATTAAGCATGTCCCGTGCGATGTCCCTGACAGAGGACTATTGAAGGTTGCCCCTGGTTTCCTCTGGACTTCAGTCCTTGTGCCTTTCCCTTGGCCGAGTTTGCTTTGATTCCTTTCCCTGTAATAAATCATGGTCGTTGAGTATGACAATATGCTGAGTCTTTTGAGTCTTCCTAGCAAATCATCAAACCTGGGGTGATCTTGAGGACCTCTGACACAATCATTCATTGTAACTTTTAAAGTCTCATAGATCTGGCCATAAAACCCCTGTGTAGATTCTCTTTGAGAATATGTCACATACTGTGCCAACTATACACAGCTTTGTGTAAACATTCTGTGAGGGATCCAAACACTGTAATAAAAATACTTTGTTGTGTGTGTCCATTCACTAAAACACACATCTATTGAGTGTCTACTAAGGAAAATAAAAAGGTAAAATGAACAGATGAACAGAACGGGAGAGTGGCTGGATGCCAGGATGATGACAGAAAAATGGCTGCGAGGTGTCTGGCTTGGGCGACAAGGCAGAAGATAGTGGGATTCACTGAGCTGTTCTGCAGGCAACTCAAACACAATGCTGAAAATCAAATGCCCACCTTTGCCCTTCTCTGCCTCCCCCCGACCTCAAATGCAGAGATTATCTGCATTTTCTACACAGTTACACCAGATTATGCAGCCTTTAGAGAGGGAGTCTGGTTTATCTCACTCAACCTGAAGGGATCGCCAAAATGTATTATCAAATGAGAAAAGTAATTTGTAGATAAATGATCATGGCTTCATCTATTTTAGTAAAATGAATAGTAAGTTTTGTAAAAAACATTTGTTAGTTGAGGCAAATTATAACAATATTCAGTATAGTGCTCAGTGTATGAAGAGGAAATACTTAGAACAATTATATTAAGAATGGGGAATGTAAAGGAACCTAATAGAATTAAGGTTTCTACACATCAAAGTGCTAAACTGCTAATAACATTAGACTGTGATAAGTTATGTCATGTACAATACGTAGAGCAACCACTTAAAAAATAAGACATAAACTCAAAATACATTATGGCTCTGTCAAATAAAATTCTAAAAAGAAATGGAAATAACCCACAAGGCAAAAAAACTGCCCAAAAACCCACAACAAAACAAAAATAATAATAAAACAAAAAAAACCCAACCACCCAAATAACAAAAACAACCAGAAAATAGAGGAACAATACACAGGGAACACATACAAAAGTCAAAGCGTAAAATGGCACACTAACTTAAGCCCTAATATATATCAGTAATTACTTTAAATTTAAGTGATCTTAATCTATCAATTAAAAAACAGAAAGCAGTAGAATGGATAAAAAAGCATGACCTGACTATATGCTGTTACAGGAAATTTACTTCACATACAACTGTATAGAGAAGGTTGAAAATAAAATTATGGAAAAATATAAACCATGCACACATTAATCAAAAAATGCAGTAGTGACTATATTAATATCAGATAAAGTATGCTTCAAAGGCAAGAAAATGAACAGAGGTAAAAAGGGACATTACACAAAGACTTTAAAAGGGTCTGTACACCAAGATGACATAGCAATCCTAAATGTGTATGCACCAAACAACAGAGCTTTGAAATACATGGAAGCACAAACTGATAGAACTTAAAGAAGGAACAGACAATTCCAGCATTACACTGCAAGGCTTCAACACCCTTCTCTCAGCTATTGATAGAAGTATTAGCAGGAAATCAGCATGGATATAGAAAATCTGAATAATATCACCAACCAATAGGATTGTGCAGACATTTACAGAAACTCCACCCAATGACAGCAGAAGACACATTCTTTTCAAGCAGCCATACAGAACATTCAAGAAAATAATATCCTGGGTCATAAAACAAACTTCAACAAAGCTAAGCAGTCAGATCAAACGTGAAACAAACTAGATCACAAACAAAAAGATAGCATGAAATACTCCAAACATTAGGAAATAAAATAATATACTTCTGAGTAACCCATGGGTTACAGAGGAAGTCTCTAAAGGAATCAAGAACTATTCAGAAATGAATAAACTGTAATTAAAAGTTGTGGTATGAAGCCAGAACAGCGCTGTGAAGGAAATTTATAGAACTTAATGCTAACATTAGAAAAGACAAGAAATTTCAAATCAATAACCTCAACACTCATCTCAAAAGATACAAATAGCAAAACAGGAGAGAGAATATAATAAGGATCAGAATACAAATCAGTGAAATTAAAAACAGAAAGATACTAGGGAAAAACTAGTGATATAAAGTGCTGGTTCTTCAAAATGATCACTAAAACTGACAAATGTCTAAGAAGATTGACAAAGATAAAAAGAGAGTTGACCTATTTCTAAAATCAAGAATAAAATGAGATATAAGTACAGATCCTGTGGGTATTAAAAAGATAATAAGTCTTCCAACAAGTCTACAAACAAAATGGAATATTTAGATGAAATGGAACAATTGCTTGAAAAGGACAAACTACCCAATTTATCCAATATGAAATACTTTCAACAGTTCTATACTTCTCAAATAAAATAATATGTAATTAAAAAGGATTCAAAAGAAAAATCACCAAGCCTAAAGGGCTCACTGGAGAACATTAACAACATTACAACAACAAAATAACACTAATTACACAGTCATCCAAAAAAGCAGAATGCATCAATACCTCCCAATTTAACTTGGGAAGTCACTATCACCTAGACACCAAAAGCCAACAATGACAGTAGTTTAAAAAAATAAACAAAAGAGAACTACACATCATTATCATTCAAGAAATTAGAAAACTTCCTCAACAAGAAATAATCAGATGGAATGCTTTTAATATGGTATATAAAAATTACACTCCAGGGGCTGGCCCCGTGGCCGAGTGGTTAAGTTCGCACGCTCCGCTGCAGGCGGCCCAGTGTTTCATTGGTTCGAATCCTGGGCGCGGACATGGCACTGGTCATCAGACCACACTGAGGCAGCGTCCCACATGCCACAACTAGAAGAACCCACAACGAAGAATATACAACTATGTACCGGGGGGCTTTGGGGAGAAAAAGGAAATAATAAAATATTAAAAAAAAAAAAAAAAATTACACTCCACAACCAAGTGAGGTTTGTTCCAAGAATGCAAGCTGGTTCAATATTCAAACTTCAGTCAATGAAACTTATCATAACAGGCTGTGGAAGAAAAGTCAAATAATTATATCAATTGATGTAAAGCATTTGACAAAATCCAATACTTATTCCTAATTACAAAAAATCACAGCAAATGAGGAATAGAAACTTTAAACTTGGTAAGAAAACTAGGAAAAAAACTTACAACTAACATGATAATGATGAAAAACAACATTTTGGCCCCAATACCAGGAATCAAGTCAAGGATGTGACCACTCCTTACTTCTTACTATTCCTATTCAACGTCATACTGGAAGTCCTAGCTAGTGCAGTGAGACAAGCAAAAGAAATAGTAAGTACACAGATTGGAAAGGAAGAAGTATGAAACTTTCCATTCGCAGCTGACACTTCTATTAAAAAACCGCAAGGATTCTATCCAAAGAAATGGCTAATAGTGAGTTCAGCAAGGTTGCAGGATAACAAAATAACATTCGAAAAACAATTATACTTCTGTATACTATCAAAGATCCTGTGGAAAATTAGAGTTTAAACATCAATGCCATTTACTATACCTCAGAAAAAAACAAAAAACCCTAGATACAAATCCTAACAAAAATGTACAGAACCTATATGTTGAAAATTATAAAATGGTAATAACTCAAGAATTACTTAAATAAATGCAGTTATATCATTTACTGTGTTCAGGATGATTCTCAACAAACCGATCTACAGATTTAAATCAACTTCTATTAAAATGAGAGCAAGATTTTTTGTAAAAATAGGCAAACATATCCTAAGATTTATATGGAAAGTCAAAGGAACTAGGAAAGCTAAATCAATTTTAAATAAGAGAGAGAAATTACTCCATTTTTAGATACTGTGTAGCTGCAGAAATTAAACATAGATTGGACGTAAGAAAAGCCAGAGTATTAAGTGTCTAAAACAACACAAAGAATGGTTTTTTAAAAATCAAAGCCTTAAAGAGTCATAATTGGTGCCACGAAATGTGCCATTCATTTGTGTATCCTCATCTCCTTAAATACCTTCTCTCAACTGTCTAAGTCTGCCGACACTGGACAGCGATGAAGGTACATACAAGACACAAGGCCATTTGCTTCAGAAACATTCCCCTTGCCCCAAGTAAACTAAGGAATGCATGACAAAGTGCTGGAGACTTGCTAGAGAGGTCTCAAAGAAAGTGTGTTTGCATTTCATTTTCTTTTCTAAGTATCCTCCTCCTCTTAAAAAAAAATTCCTGAGATAACACTGCAGTGTAAACTAAGGAGAAAGATGTAGCTGAAGGCTTTCCTTGGTGTGCAATGAGCACTGGTCTCTCCCTCCTGGATGAATTCTCAGATATAGAATAAGGCTCTAGGCTGGGTCAATTTCTAAAACATGCCTTTAAATGACAAGCAAAGGTTTGCAACAAAAGATTTTCTCACAGCGAAGATACTTGTGGGGTTTCTCTTTGGTATGTACGATCAGATGCAGTGCTAGATGTTTTCTCTGGCAAATGATTTTCCTCAGTGTTTACATTCAAAAAGTCTTGCCCCAAAAGGAGTTCTCGGAGGGTGACTGAGGTTTGTACACTTGTGAAGGGTCTTCCCACTTCTGCCACACTGACAGGGTTTCTCCCAGAATGAATCCTTTGATGCTGAGTGAGGGATGAGCTTCGACTGAAGGACTTTCCACACTCACTGCACTTATAGGGCTTCTCTCCAGTGTGGATAATGGCATGTCGAATCAGGTTTGTGCTCCAGCAAAAAGATTTCCCACACTCCATGCATTCATAGGGCTTCTCTCCACTATGAATCCGTTGGTGCCTCGTGAGGCCTGACCTGCGGTTGAAGGCCTTCCCACATTCCATGCACTCAAAGGGCTTCTCTCCAGTGTGGATGCTGAAGTGTCGAATGAGGTCTTTCCTAGTGCTAAAGGCTTTCCCACATTCTTTGCACTCAAAAGGTTTTTCTCCAGTGTGGGCCCTTTTATGCAAGATGAACGTGGAGCAGTGGGTAAAGGCCCTTCCACATTCAGTGCACACAAAAGGCTTCTCCCCAGTGTGAATCCGCTGGTGCCTCTTGAGGTATGACCTGTGGTTGAAGGCCTTCCCACACTCCAGGCACTCAAAGGGCTTCTCCCCAGTATGGATGACGTAGTGGTGAATGAGGGCTGCGCTCTCACAGAAGGCTTTCCCACATTCACTGCACTCATAGGGCTTCTCCCCAGTGTGAGTCTGCTGGTGCCACATGAGGTATGACTTGTGCTTGAAAACCTTGCCACACTCGAAGCATTCATAGGGATTCTCACCACTGTGGATGATGTGATGTCGAAGGAATCCTGGCCTATGTCGAAAGACTTGCCCACATTCTTTGCACACAAAAGATTTTTCTCCAGTGTGTCTCCTCTTATGCAAGACAAAATTGGAGCGGTGGGTGAAGGCCTTTCCACATTCACTGCACTTGTAAGGTTTCTCTCCACTGTGAATCCGCTGGTGTTGTGTAAGATATGACTTGCGGTTGAAGGCTTTCCCACACTCCATGCACTCATAGGGCCTCTCCCCAGTGTGGATCATGTGGTGTTGAAGGAGGTGTGTGCTCTTAATAAATGTTTTCCCACACTCTGTGCATTCATAGGGCTTCACTCCAGAGTGAATCTTCTCATGTCCAGCAAGAAGGTGTTTCTTGTTAAAAACTTTCCCACATTCATTGCATTTAAAGATGTTTTCTTCTTCCCGAATCACAGGATCTTTACCTGATCCATGGGTGTCATGGTCAAGGACAGCACCTCCCAGAGGGACTGGCTCCTGTACAATCCATGAACATACACCATCCACTGTCCCTAAACCATCATGTTCAGGGCTCATTTTCCCAGGGAGCTTCTTCCTCTGGGGGTCTATCCCTGGTCTCAAGTGTCCTTCTTGCACTTCCGATGGCCCATCCTGATCCTTGGCTTGGCACACCTGGGAGTCCCCTGGGGTTCCTTGTGTTAGTTGTTTCTGGAGTAAGGCTCCCTCAGACTGGGCTGGCTCATAAGTGGTAAGTTCTGCAGTCTTGGGCTGTCCTTTGTCACCTGAAAGAAATCCAAAACACAACAGGGCCATTAGTAATGCCAACGTAGAAAAAACAAAATCCGCATTTCAGAGAAAAAAATGAAGATGATAATAGTGCCTCTGTGTCCGCTATGTTTTGCTACCTCTGAATCCCAGGATAGCAATCTTTTTCTTGCCTGGTCCTTGGACTGTTGAGACTTTGAAAGGGAGACCCAGGGGGAGAGGCTGGATGAGGATCTGGAGTGAAGGCACCATCACAATTCCAGATTGGAGGTGGCTTGATAGAGTAATAACGACACCGTGTTTTGGGTTTCCTCTGAGCAAGGAGATCCCACATTGCTGTAAGAAGATTAGGAAAGGGGATCTAATGCCGCCCTGAGAGAAACCAGGAAGTGTGTAATGCAAAATTAACTTACCCTAAAGAGAAGTCTGGTCTTTGTCCCAACTCCAAAGAAGAAACCTCTAAATTTTGGGTATCTCCAGAGTGACAGGAATGCCTGTTATCCATGGTGTAACCCTATGTAGTTCATGTTAAAGAGATGACGCAGGGTAAGGTCTGGCCATATCAGAAAGACCAATCATCTAATTAGAAAGTTGGGGCTTTGAGTCCTTAGATATCAGATGGACCTCCGGAAAGGGAAGGAGGCCTGGACCCTGAGTCCCATTGGTAAAGACTCAATCAAGAGTGCTTATAGGAGCTGGTCCTGTGGTCAAGTGGTTAAGTTCGAGCACTCTGCTTTGGCAGCCCAGGATTTCGCCGGTTCGAATCCTGGGCGCAGACATGGCACTGCTCATCAAGCCATGCTGAGGCGGTGTCCCACATGCCACAACTAGAAGGACGCACAACTGAAAATACACAACTATGTACCGGGGGGCTTTGGGAGAAAAAGGAAAAACAAAATCTTCAAAAAAAACCCAAGAGTGCTTATGCAATGAAGACTCAATAAAAATCTGGATACTGAGGCTGTGGAGAGTTTCCTGGGTTGGCAAAATTCTATGTACATCCCGCCCTACATCAACGCCAGGATGTAAGGAGCTGCTGAGGATACAGGAGCTTCATGCTTGCAACATTTCCTGCCCCACATTCTGCATCTCTTCTCATTTGCATCCTGTGTCTATAACAAATATGATAGTGAGTATCAAAGGTTTTAGAGAGTTTGTGATTCTTTCTAGCAAATCACTGAACCTGAGAGAGGTTTTGGGAAATCCTTAAACTTGTAGCTGGTGTCAGAAGACCTGGGCATACTTGGCAGTCTTGGAGTTCTGTGTCCATTTGACAAGCAAAAATTGTTGAGCCTTAGAATATCAAGTAGTGGACAGGAAATGACCAATGGAAACTGCATTCTGTCTAGGTGGAAATATAAGTTGGTAGAGCCTCTTTAGAAAACAATGGCAAAATGTCCATAGTCTATAATCCAACCATTTCACTCAGAGAAACATCAAAGACATCCTAGCCATGTGCAAGATGACCAATACACACGAATGTTCTTGACAGCACTGTTTGTGAGTGAGTGAAAAGATGTAAAAAACTAGATACCCCAGAGAGCAGATAAATACAATGTAAAACAGGAGCATTTTTTACTTATTTCTTCAATTGTAAGGACTTTCAGCATATTTTTACATTGAGTAGAGAAAGGATAAAGCTACAAAACAAGCAAAATGTAAGTGAAGAAAGAATTTCCCTGAGAAGGGGTGATCTAGGCTCTAGTTCAAGCCTTGGCCATGGCCAGGACCAAAACCTCTTCTGCTCAGCCAAAGGAGACACTACAGACAAGAGTCCAAATCAAGCAGTACGAGGAGGCAGACTTTACTTTCAATATGAAAACCTGCTAACAGGTGCCAGCCCCGTGCCCTAGTGGTTAGGTTCGGCATGCTCTGCTTTGGCAGCCAGAGTTTGCTTCCTGGGTGTGGACCTACACCACTCATCAGTGGCCATGCTGTGGAGGCAGCCCACATACAAAAATAGAGGAAGACTGGGACAGACGTTAGCTCAGGGGAAATCTTCCTCAAACAAAAAACAAAACCAGAAAACTTGATGACCAATCCCTGGTCATATGCTGAGACATCTGTGGAAAGTGGTAACTGTCCAGATGGTCGGATGAAGGGAGGGATGGAAGTGGAGGTGTGAGGAATTCTCTGAGGGTGTATCTAGTCTCTAACCTGCTTCTAACCACTCACTCAAGCTCAAGAGGTGGGAGGAGCGAGCAACATTATGAGTTCCTTGCCAGGCATGTTGACTTCGGGTGACTATGAGATACTCAAGTGCAGATGTGGGATTGAGGAGAGGGCAGAAGGCCTGGAACAGACTCTGAGGGGCTGATGATGACCTACATATGGACACACACAGGCTGGCTGAAGAGCTCAAGGGACCAATAAAGGGCAGACAGAATGACTCTACAGTGGCACCAATCACACACACGATGGCCCCAATGCCCTCAGGAGCCCAGATGTGGGGCAGAGAAGGTCAAATGTCACCTTGAGATCTTAGCAATCAGGAGGGGCAGGAAGACAGGGACAAGGGAGTGCCTCTGAGTTTCTAACTGACACTCAGAGGAGGGGTGGAAGGAGAAGGTGGAAAGAGGGTTGGCAGAGTGTAGATGGAGAGAGTGAGTGGGAGAGGAAGAAAGGCCTTTCCTCACTGTTCAGAGAGACACGTGAGACACTCTCTTCATTTCTTCATTCTGACTAGTATGACAGGAACACCACTGAGAGCTCCCTTTCACGATGGCTCAGACGCTGCGCTCAGCAGTTTTCCGCATTAACACACTATGTGACTACATCCCAATAATCCAATGACACAGAAGCTATAATTACTAGCATTTTCAAGGAACAGACAGGGTGTAGCAGACCACACTCACCCAGCACTTTGCTCCTCTCCTTGGACACACAGCTTGGCCTCATTTCCCAGCCCCAGGCACCCAAATGAGGCCAAATGCCTACTTCTTGTCAGTGGGATATGAGGGGACCTGTTGTTTGCGGGAGTGGGTGTGACATCTTCCCTTCCCCTCAGTCTCCTCTGCCAGCTGAAGGACATCAGGACAACCTTAAAGCCACATGTTGATGACAGAATGGACCTGGGTCCTTGAACAACTGTGTGGTACACAGCTCCCGGCTGACCCACATGGACCTTGGCGTGAGTGAGAAAAACAGCTTCCACATGCTGAGCACTGAGATCCTGGAGTCTGTCTGATACGGTAGCTGGCTTTAACTCAGCTGAACTCATACACAAAGACACATGAGATCCTGCACCTTGCTAGAGCCACAAGGCTGGTGATCGGCAAGACAGGCTTTCAGCCCAAGCAGCTGGAGCCCAAGTCAGATCTCAGCTCATATACCTCTGTCTCCTGGGAGGATAGAGGGCCCAGGGGTCAAAGGGCTCCATGGCGTCCAAACCACCAGAGGCCATGACAAGAAGCTTCCCAGGGAACCACGGCCAGAGGTCTCCCCCAGGCCTCAAGCCTGCAGGCTCTCCCACCTGCCCACCAGGGCTCTTACCTGGACAGGGGCTTTGGGAGAGGTCTTTCTTCACAGTCCACAGCTCTTGCCCGTGCTCCAGCTGGCAGATCAGCTCAGGTCTGGGAACAGGACACCCTGTTCACAGAGAAGGAAAGAGGACACACAAGGGTTTTTGAGAAATGAAATAAAACCTCTCAATTTAGTCTGGGACTTCAGAATGTGGACAAGAGCTGCTCCCATGCACACAAAATGCTGACCTGCAACCTGGAAACCCGAGGCACAAACACCATCAGTGGGATCCAAAGACTTTAGACAGTACTGATGGCTGTGTAGACAGCACCTATTCCCTGTGACTTTCATCACATAGAATCCCAATTATGTTTAGTTGTAGTCATGAGAGCCAGGGAACATGACCTTCCAGAAGGTGTTCTCTTATTACTTCAAATAAGTGGGACTCAACCACCTGTATGTGAAAGCCTCCTGGGATGTCTGCCTCACATCCAATTGAAACCAATCTCTGCAGATGAGGCCTGGATATCAGTAGAATTAAGAACCTCCCCAGATGATTCTGGCATCAAGGGAGGGTTGAAAAAGGCTGGTCTCCACCAACTTGCCCGTGGCATTCCTCAATCACCAATAGTTTGGGGTAGCCAGGTGACTTACACCAATCACTCTATGAGGAGAAAGCTTTACTCTAGCATGGTTGAATGAGGGCTCTGCCACTCCTGTCGTCTTGTGGCATCCTGAGACTTTTGTGAGAGACTCTGCCTAAGAACCTAGACCAAGGAGAGGAAGCAAACAAACAGATAACTGGGTTGGTACCCACCAACCTGGAAGCCAGCCCCACCTCTGAACTTCTAATGTGAGACAATAAATTTCCTTCAGGATGAAAACCAAGCTGCTCTGTTACATGCAGCCTAACACAGATGCAGGAGAAAAAAGATCCAAGGTATCGAGAAGTCAATGAGAGACACATGAGGACCCACAGAAGGCTCCTCTGTCAGATCCTGAACTGTAGCCAAGGATTCATTAGCTGTCACTTACGAAATGGTCACTCATGTCTGCAGACTAAGTCCTTCAGCTCTGTCAGGTGTCATTCTCCCTGTGACCTTCGCATGTGTCGGCCTTCCTACTTGGAATGCTATTCTTTCCCCATCTTGCTCCATCTAGCTAACTCTAGCTCAAATGTCACTCCCTAAGAAGACTTCACTGAACTGTGGCTCCTGAGTCTAGGTACTTAAATAATGTGCCACATTGCTATGGAATTTTCCATCCTAATAGTAAGTCAAAAACTAGTATTTATATGGTGTAACCATATCCCAGGGAACACGACAAGCTATTTAAATGCATGCCATTTAAAACTGAAATAAATTAATGGAATAATATAAGACAAGGTATGTGTCTTCATTGATCTAAGTCTCTTTTCAGATCCTAAGCAAAGTACTGAAGGCATGCTCCTTGGGTCGCTTCTGTAGTTTAAAAGTGTGATAATGATGTCTGCAAGGGTTGTAATTCCCTAATTGGCACCTAATCTGGAAGAGATGATCTCCACAGTCTGATTTTCTGCGGTCAGCACACCAAGTTGCTGGGCTGGTGACGCCAGCGGCATCTAGGACAACCGGCTGTTGTACAAGCTAAGGTCCCCTCAGAGACTGTGCTGGGATGCAAGTGTGCCAACCACACTCAAGTCAGCAGTGGGTGCTCAATGAGTCACTCTCCCTCCCATCCTGTAGAACTGATCGCATTGGCATACCCTTTTAAGGGGGCCTCCCTGGCAAAAGATTCGCACACTGGTCCTTGGGGCAATACAGGGATCCACCAGTGATGTGGCATGGGGCGCCCACCTCACAGATGCCATGGCACAAGGGAGGCTTAAACTGCTTAAAGGGCAAGTCTTGCCGTTGGTGACGCCTTACTGCTGATGCAGTCCGTCCTCCGACCCAGTAGGGTATACGGGATGCCATCCTTGGAGACTGGTGGTTCAACAGACGATGGAGTATCTTGTTCCTGCATCCCCTTAAGACACCTGAGGAGGTTTCTCAATTCATTCGAGACTGTATAACCCCGGGCTAATGTGTCGGGGCGCTCCTGAGTGCCTGGTGCTGCCTATCAGCATTCTAAGAGTCTCCTCCTTAAAACCAAATCGTCACACAACCACTGCTCTCCTAGATGCGAGCCCCGGCCCTGTGAGGTTGTTTGGGACATCCCAGAAAGGGAGGCCATCACTCAGCAGAGGCCACTTGGGACTGCCAGGAGCTTAGCAGGTAAATAACCCAAATAAATGAGAGAAAAATTGTTGGAGACAAAGAGGTGACCGAACAGAAGAAGAAGAAAAAAAAAGATTTTGTTTGGAGAGGAAAAAAAAAGAAAAAAGGGGGGGTGCTAATCCCAGGAAGGCTGCTGCCAGAGGCCTTAGGCCCCTCCGCCTTCCTCTCATCAGCAAGGGGCAGACTAAAAACCAAGGCTTCAGGGGGCCAAAGCCCAAGAGGAAAAAAAGGGGAGGGGTCTCTAAACTTTATGTACCCAGCAAATGCCAGGTCAGCAAACAGAATACTAGTTGTAGACTGTGTATTGATTTAAACACAATAACAAAAAACAAACCCCTAGATACGGGGGTAAAAAATAAAAGGAAACTAAATAAGATACAGTATTTAACTAAGTTAAAATACTGTCTATAATTTGACCCAACCAGAAATCCAAAATTTATATACCAAATATTCATATTATATAACAAATTATATATAATAACTATGTACAGCATAAGTATAATAAAATTTATATACTAAAGAAATTTGTATTACAAAAACAAAACAGGGCACTGATTGGTTTTGTGCCTCTACAAGACAGGTTCTAAATTCACTCTAGAATTTGCTAAAATGTACCAACTGACAAATTTCACGAACTGGAGATCAAATTATAGCTATACCTGGGAATTCCACTAATTTAAACATTGTACTTCCCAATCTTAAACAGTAACTAAATATATAGGGGCACATATGTGCGGTGACAGACAAAAACTAGACTATTGGTGGTGAACATGATGCAGCTTATACAGAAAGTGAAATATAACAAAATGTACTCTTGACATTTACACAATGTTATAAGCCAATATGACCTCAATAAAATAATTTTTTAAAAAATTTACTAAACAGAAAATAGGCAAAATAGGTATGCCTTGTTCTAACAGTAGGCTTGCCTAAATTTCCCACAGTCAGTACCCATTGCCCCATACTGGGCATAGATGCTCTGACACAATACCTCACTAAAATAAATTTTTGGCACTTACAAATTGGCTGGATAAAATGGGACCCATAGACCTCAGTTAAAATAGTTAATATGCTCAGTGTAAGCTGAAAAAGGGCCTTCAGAAAGTAAAACTTATTTTATAAAACCTAATTAATAAAGGGTGATTATTGCCACTGCTTCTCCATTTACCGCCCGACTGTGCCTGTTCTGAAGCCTCGAGAAGATAAGCAAAACCTCCTGGTAGGTTACTATAACCTTAGCACTGTGGTCCTGCCCATTAAGCTCCGTTATGACTGAACTGTAACTCCTAAAGTTCATGTTAAGCCCTAAGCCCTAACCCCCAACATGATATTTGGGGACAGGGCCTTTAAGGAAGTAATTAAGTTTAAGTGAGGTCATGGGGTGGGGCCCTAATGTGGCAGGACTGGTGTCCTTATAGAAGAGGCAGCGAGGGCCTTGCCCAGCCAGCCGAAAGGCCAGGTGAGGACACAGCAAGAAGGTGGCCAGAAAGAGATCCTCATTGGAAACCGATCTGCTAGCACCTGGATCTGGAACTGCCAGCCTCCAGAACTGTGTGAAAATAAATTTCTGTTGTTTAAGCCACAGAGCAACGGCAGCCCAAGCTGACTAATACAGTGCACAAACTCAATATCCAACATCATTAAAATTACTAACGTTAGCCAGTCAACAACCAGAAATGATTTTGAGCTTATAGACTTGGCTAGTTGTTCTGTCCAGGGCCTATTTCAACAGCCTCTCAGCCAGTCTGCCTTCCTGTGTGAAGGGAAACAACACCCCTTTTCCAGGCTACCCATGGGGTAGCTCAGCAGCTCTGCCACCACACAGTCCGCACACAAGATATCAACAGCACCCACCTTGCTCCAGGAGCACAGAGGTGACTGTACACTGACCACAGCCTTGTCCCAGGAGACTCATTTGACATACTCATTAAGGATATGTAAGTCCAACATCTTTTAGTCCTTTTGGGGACTAGTTTTAGACAATAATACTATTTAGTATTATTTTGGGTCTGGTGGCAACATATTCCTCATTTATAGATTTTACTTAACTTCACTGATACTCATACTTACAAATCAACCCACCTCAAATGAGAATCCTTCCAACAAAGGCTCTAAAAGCTATTCAAAACACTGTAAACACTCATTCCCATTAGTGCCCCGAGAGACTCCTTCACTGCAGAGGAACTGACAACCTCTCCTCCTGGCGGCTCTGAGTCACCTATGACGGCCCTAAATTGCCCCAGGGCTTCTAATGGAAGAAAGTGTCCCCCTCAGCCTCGTGCTCTACACTACTAAAATGACAGTGACTAACTACACCCTAGGCTCTCCTGGAAACAGAGGCTCTCACAGACCCTGAGCTGTGACCCTCCACACCCAGCTGCCCATTATGCTGTGGGTCATGGAAACAGAACATCAAAAGCTCACAAAGCTACCAGAGCAAGGCAAAATAAACTAGGATCAAAACAAAGAGACAACCCGCCAATCAGGAGAAAATGTTTGCAAACCATATATCTGACAAGGAGTTAGTCTCCATAATACATAAGGAACTCACACAATTGAACAACAAAAAAACAAACAGCCCAACCAAAAAACGGGCAGAGGATACAAACAGACATTTTTCCAAAGAAGATGTACAACTGAAATCTCACATTGATGTTAACTATTATGAACTCGATTACAAATATATTAATTAATTAAATTAAATTAAAAAAAAGCTCACACAGCTACCAGAGCCCCAAGACAGGACAAAACCCAGCCTGGGCCCTCTGGTGTATTCCACCTGCAGACGATGGCCTCCCCTCCACTTAGATGCCAGGGTGCTGGAGGTCACCTCTCCCCCAGACCCCTTGGGATTAACTCAGTGAACAA